TTTAATGACAAAAATATCTTTGTAAAAAGCAAAAAATAAAAATAAATTTATTTTGCTAAATAATTGCTTACACAAAATATTTTCTTAAAACATGAAAATGTGTGCATGTTCATATATATATATATATATATATATATATATATATGTGTGTGTTGTTTTATTTATTTATTTATTTAAAAAATTCTTTTTTAAATAAAAATAAGGATTGTTTTCATATGCAGATATCAATGACACAAGCACAGTTTCAAAGTTTACATTTGTAAAGAAAGAGCCATTTTCTGATAAGTTAAGGATTGATTTTTATACTGTATTTCTATTATGAACAGAATGCTAATGGACAAAAATTATTTCAAAGTTTTTTTTTGTTTTTTTTTTTTTGTTTTTTTACAAGTGGACCAGTCTACATTATTCTTTTGGGGCAAATATTGAAGATTTTCCTAAAAATATATTAGCTGACAATGGGTAATAATAGAATTCCTACCTTATGAATCTTAAGCTATGTGTGTGTGTGTGCGTGGAGGACTAGCTTGCTTCAATGGGATTTAACTACATGTACTTACTAATGGCAATGTTATTTTGAGCCATTTTTTTTTTTTTTTTAATTAGTGAAAGTTTTCCTACTGCTGCCAGAATTTAGTTCTTTATTAGTCCATTGTAATTAATCCTCTTCAATTGGTTTAAGTACTCCAACTTCTTCCTGTTATTTTACTTTTAAATTTAAACTTTAAAATTCCACTGCTTATTGGTATTTGGTCAAAAATGGTACTTGAAGGTGTTTATGTTTTGAATCAGATGAAAATATCAGATCATTGCAAAAGTAAATTGATTCCCCCTCCCCGCCGAAAACCAAAACAATATACACTCATAACATGTAACTTATTAAAATTTAAAAAAATAAAAAAAAATTGTAATTTGGAGTTCTTCAAATATTACCATTTAATTGTGGATTTTTAAAAGAATTTTACTTTTTGAAATCACAAAAACATCAGGTGGTATGAGCATATTTGTTTTGGCTTTGATGGTGGTGGTAGGACAATTTACAATGAATTTACATTGCAAAATGGACCCCACCCTATTAACTTTCATAAAATTTAATGAAAAAAATTTTCTTTGCTATTTGTGATCTGGAGTGCTTTATCTATAGTAATATAAAAAGAAATTTTGAAAAACAAAAGGAAAACAGAAAAGCGAAAAACAGAGAAGAAAGAAGAAAAAAAAAATCAAAAGATTATTTCTGGTCACAGTGCTTATTATACAATTCCACCTAGATTTTTTTCTTACCGTTTTTATGAAATCTGATAGAAAATATTCTTCAAGAATTCTAAGATCTTTGAAGAGAATCAATTTGTTTTGAAGGTATATTGCAAAAATATGTGATCAAGTAAAAAGTCACTATGCAGCTGTTAAGTTTTAGTTTTTTTGAAATGGCCACATTTGCAAAAGGTTGAAAATATAAGACTCACTAAAAAGGAAGAACTCTACAGAGTATTCTTGTAAAATAGTAACATAATAAATCATAAGTAAATTTAAAGCCATTTTGAATATAATTCAATGAAAGCAGAAGACAGACTCAAAGTTCAGGTAAACAGGCCAGTGTCATTTTATATTGGTTCATTCAAACTAATTTCCTGATTTTTTATTTTGTTTTATTTTATTTATTTTTTTTGAAATGACAACATGTTTGGTTACTGTTCTCTCCAGCCTTCCTCAAGTGTGTGCCATATTTTGGTATATTCCAAAATATGACATACAAAGTTGGAGAGAAGAGAGCAGCCAAAACAGCGAAATAATAAATTAATAATGAACAGATTAGCCCGAATGAATCTGAAACAATTACTGTTAAATTTTTAGCTTATATATATTTTCATCTTCTCAGATACTTTTTATTACTAGACATCATGACTAATGTGTATAAACAAACATTAAAGCAAAGAAAGTATAAAGATTAGACTATATGGTTAGATTTGGGGTACTGTAATTGGTGGTTATTTTAATAATTAATGAAGCAGATATTGCAGTAAGACTAGGGATTTATATAAACCTTCTCTCCTAGTGGCCAGAAAACTCAGATGAGTTATTGTCCTTGGCACACTAGAGTTCTCCTCAGAGCTTGAGGATTCGTTGGTGGTAGAAGTGTCACAACCAACATCCGGACTCCTACACTTGTTAAATAGGAACTATGCAATGAGCAAGATATTTTTTAGTATTAATCAGTGGCTTCAACTTGACTTAAGGGTAGAAATCTTTTCTAAGAATGACAATCACTTTTTGTAAGTAATATTTCTATATAATGTTTTGTTGTGTCTCTTACATTGTTCATGTTAAAATGGTGAACAATATTTTGCTCCCAACCTTTTTTTTTTTTTTGTTTCTCTTAGTGTCTTGTATTTATAGGTTTAGAATCTCCTTGATGTATGGAGCCATTATTCAGTAACAACTCAACAAAACAAAATTCTTCAGAAAAAAAGCTGGCCCGGGGGGGGGGGGGTATGCATGTTAGAATCTCACTAGAAACTTATTCTTGATTTTCAATCTGCACTAGTAACCAATGGCCATGCAATGATGGTTGGAGAAGTTACAATTAAAAAAAAAAAAAAAATTGTATTGTTTTTTATCATTTCGACCTGAGCGAGGTGATAAACCCACAAAGACACAAGGGACCACAGAGTGTGAAAAAAAATCTGAGAAAGAAATTAAGGAGAGATGCCAATAAAAGAACAGGATTAAGGAAACATGACGACAATTACAATGCATTTAAATTTTTGAAGGTCAAAGTTGACTGGAAAGCAAGAAGCCAGAAGAGAATTTCACAAGTGAGAAATACAACAGAAGAAATTATTTGCATAGAACTTATGATTACCTCTATCAATTTAAACTGTAAAATGAAGAAGCCTATCTGCCAATCTAGTACGGTGCTTAAATTTGTAAAGGTACCAAATAATAATAAAAATGAATAATAAAGCTTCATCTCAGAATAAATTCAAGATGATATTTCTGAAACAATCCCGCCATAAAAGCCAATTATATTATAAACAAAATCTTTTTACAAAAAAAACTACAAAAGTTCTATAATTTGTCTAAAGAAAAAATAATTTTTCACACAACACTTCAACATGAACTGCCAAACATTTTAAGTGTCTAATTTTTAAAATAAAAATTATGTATTTTTTGCCACATTATATACTACATTACTAGTCATTTCATTTGCATAGCATCTGCATTTTATAAATATTTTCTTTAAATACATACTACCAGACCAGGCATCCCGCTGTTAAATGCATGTAAAGTACACATTGCATGATTTAAGTTCTAATTTTCTAAGAGACACAACAAAGCATTAACTTCCATCCTGCATTATTAGTTTACATTTGTAGAATTGCTTCTTAAAAATCTAATAATATTCAGTTTGCTTAATTCTATAGAACAAGGATATAATATATATCAGTAAGATATCTTGTCGACTGCTCTAAAAGCATCATTGTCGTCTTGAATCACTCTCGGACTCATAATCACAGTAATGAAAACAGGTAAAAGAAAATTCTAACAAACTATTTTGCCAGCTGTTCCCAAGTTTGAAATCAAAAGAAATTGAGCAAACAAAGTCAAATGAAAATAATGTATCAACATTTACTGTGAAACTTTACTAATTTCATATACATACATTTATATATATAAGTGTGTGTTGTGTGTGTGTGTGCAAAAATTTAGATATAAATAAAAGGCAAGAGGAAAGCTTTTTATGCCAAGATGTGTTGGCATAAAAAAGTTTCGCCTCTTGCCTTTTCATATATTCCTGATACCCCCCTGAAGAGTGAACGGACATGCCCGCCTACGAAACTCTGGAGTCGGGATGCTGAAGGTAACATCAATCAGCTAAGTGACAAACTTTTACTCACATTAATCCTATATATATATATATATATATATATATATATATATATATATATATATATATATATTATACATTGAAAACTCAAAATGATTTCTTGATTTAACTGACCAATCTTTGTTATCAATCTCAGTTTATATTTTTGTCATATTTTTCATATAATTGTGAATATTAAATTTTTATTTGCACAAGCAATGAGCTGAAGAAATACAGAAATTGAAGCGGATACTTAGAGGTTTATAATTTGGTAAAAAAGAGGAAAGTGTTTATATTACTATTAGATTACAAGAGAGAGAGGGGGGGGAAAAAAATCAATATTCTTAATTTTTTTTTTTTAAAATTAATAATTTTATATTTATGGATGATAATAAACAAGGCTTCAATAAGACTTAAAATTTAATCCTTCAGGCTTGCAAGCCAACCTTTCTGTGACAGATGACTTACCTGTTCAGTTAGAGGTCAACCAAATCTAATAATAAAGCTACATTACTTTGAGTAAAAGTAAATGGATATTTTGTAAACACTATAATTATTAGATTTTTTTTAATAGTGTCATTATTAATTTTTGATGAAATTTCTTGTTTTCTTTTCATCATTATTGTTGTTTTTTTATCACAAAAGGTCATTTTTAAGTAAACAGCATTGATTGTGAGTCTATGTTGCTTACTGAATGGTTGGAGAATGTAAAAATAACCAAAGTAATGTGATAAAAAGCAACAATAAAAATGAAGAAAAACAAAGCAAATAATAAATAATTTTATTAAAACAGAATTTGCTGAAACAAAACTATAAAAATTTTACAGGTTACTCCCAAATCCCAAAGTTCAATTTCTGTTCAATATATCAAGAGAAAATAAATTGACATTGTGAATTTGCTTACTCTTCCATTCAACTGAAAATTTAAGATTTGAAAGTTAAAAAGAAGATGTTTTTTTTTGAAGAAGTCGAACAAATGCAAACAATAAGGAAGTGTGGATGCTGTTCCATTCGTTACACTGTTAAAAACGAATCCCATGCTGTTTGTAACTTTGTTATAGAATTCAGATCTACAATATTAACCTGCTAACCTGGAAAGCAGGTCAAGTTCTAGCCCACAAGAAAATCTGCCAACACAAAGGAGAAGATATAAATTGCAACATCTTCAGCAATTGAAGCACTGTAGCCAATCACCTTATGAAATGTAACAACTGTGTTTTGATCGACGCCACATACAATTAAACAAGTTGCTATCATGGACCCTCTCTCAGGAAGAACTACAGCCTGAAAGTAAAACAAAAATCAAAAATCACAAACACTGAATCAAATAAAAAGGAGAGATAAAGTGAAAGGAAAGAAAATAAAAATTAAGTCTGGGACTAAATGTTGAATGAATATCAGTTTCTGTATTATTCAATCAGTTTCAGTAAATTTAAAAAAAAAAAAAAAAAATTGTATTTAGTTGTACAGGAGTCAAAAAATTTGGTCAAATTTATTATAACTTGTGAAAAATGACAAAATCTTATCCTTCTTAATTTTGATATATTAAGTCATAATTTCCGTTTTTGGGAAACAATTGTAATGACAAATATGTCATCGTAACTGTCCCTTAAATATATTCTAAAAGGTGATGAAAAATGGGTTGCATACAACAATGTTCAACGCAAAAGGTTGTGGATTGATAAGGATAAATTTCCACTTCCAACACCGAAAGCCAAGTTCCATGGAATAAAAGGTTATGAGGTTATGTGATGCATACGATGGGATCATTGGGGTGAAACCTTACGTGCACATTTATACATCCAGAAGTTGCAAATGGGTCTATAAAAGCTCAGCTGAAAAGCATCCTGTATACACCAACAGGAAAAATGCTTTTCTCCTCCATAACACAAGGCTGCATACAGCAAGAATAACACAGAAAAAATTTGGAACTTCGATCTGTTCTATCCCGCCCATTATTTTCACCTGACCTTTGCACCAGCTGATTAGTATCTTTTCAATTGTTGCAAAATGTTTCGGCTTCTCTAATGAAAACCAGATTCAAGAGTTCATCAAGAACCTTTTCATATCAAGACTTGCAGAATTTTACTCAAAAGGTATCAAAAAGCTGCCTGATAAATTGCAACAAGTCATTGCAAATAATGACGGATATAAATTAAATAAAATGTAATTGTACTTTATTTTTTTTAAAGAATAAAATGCAAAAATTATTTATGACTAAACTTAATATTTTAGCATAGAAAAAAAAAAAAAAAAAAGAATAGAAATTCAATATTTTGCAAAAATCAGTGCAGAAAAAATTTAATCAAATCAGCAAATTGGAAAATACTTAGTTTTCCTTAATCTTAACCACAAAGTTAAAAACTGTTTTTTTTTTTTTGCAAAAATGTGAGCAACGTCTGCAATAATTTAACCAAAATTCATGACATAAATCCAAATTTATACAATTCTAAAATCTTTTCTATTGTCATAATTTTTATTAAATCACATTTAATATTTACTGTTTAATATTTCATGTTTTTAATTTGTCTCCAAGGTGATCCTGTGACAGCTAGACTGGATTTGTCTCAAATAAGACAATGATACTGATAGAAACATTACCTTGCAAAATTTCGGCAAAAATGTGTAAATACCAAGTTGAAGGAGAGTGAACGGGACAAGTATTGACTGAAAAATAAAAGAATGAATTTAGATGAGATAAAAAGAGCATAGAAAAGAGGCAAACTTGAAAACTTAGTAAAAAGAATAACTGTAGATTCCATATTGGAAAATAAAAAATAACTTTCTATACATCAGCTTGAATGCACTAAATAAATTTCAGTATCTGTATATTTCTGAGATGAGGTATTATGTACACTATTTACATTATTCAGACTATTGTCATCATCTTTGTTGCCATATTTATTAAAATACTCTAATATAAAATACTATTAATACACTCCGGCCTTCTTCAGGTGGTTGGAATGTCAAACTGAACCCTTTATTTCACTCACTGGGGTAAACTGTTCTAGTTCCACATGTCATTTTTTTTTTGTGGTAGTACCAAATGAGGTTTAGTACTGTGGTAGTGTCTATTAAAACTTTGGAAGTACTTTGGTACATGCATATTAAAATACCAGAAATTTCCCAGAGTTTAATTTTTGTTGTTTTTCAATCAAAATAAAGGAATAAATTCACTGTAGACATCCACCATTTGCCCAGCTCCATGAAAGTCTTGTGACGTGTCAGTCAAGAAGCACTTCCACATATCAATGCCTTTGTTAATATAAGTAGTGAGATTGTATCCATCACTGGCTTGCTAAGCCTATTGCTTATAGCACCTGATAATCCTTGGTAGTCTCCCATATGAGTACTGACCAGGCACATCTTTGCTTAACTTAAAAAAAGGCAAATGTTTTTTTTTTTTTTGTGGAAGGGTGTAGATGAAACTAAATGAATAGAAACTGAACCTCTTGTCTAGGTATCTTTTTTGTTCTATTTTCATGATCTTGTAGATTGATCCAAATTTTGTTGCCTCTTTTCTCAATATAAGTGACTGTATCTCCAAGAAACATTACATCATCCAAGTTTAAAGATTTTTCTTTCTCTAAACATTCCTTTGGCAATCTTGAACTCAATATAAGTGATCTTTGGAAACCCATGCACCGATAAACATCTGCTTTAATATCACTGGATTATGATAACAAGCACCATTTACCAGAATTTTAGTGTACTGAAAAAAAAAAAAAAAAGAAAAAAAAAAGGCCAACTGCTAGGGACTTCTGAAGTAACTCCCCTGGTCCAACAATTTGATCAAAATAAAATTCAAGTGGGTACCAGGAAATATAAGATGACAGACTGTATCTATCGCAGAGTCGCTAGGACTATCATGTGACATATAGTACCTGCTGATTCTTGGTAGTCACCTATTTGAGTAATGATCAGGCTCAACGTTGCTTAACTTTTGAATGCAGACAATCAAAAAAGGCTAAGGTTTTGAATGCGGAAGGGTGTAGATGAAAGAAAAGGAGACAGGCTACCAAACACTAGACTGTTAGAGGTACAGTCATACATTTTAAGCAGCTTCAAGAACTTTTCAGATCATAACCATATTTGTATGACTAGAAATAGCCCAAAAATAGTAAAACAAAGTGAGACAGCCGAGATTGTTATTTTCATTTTCTGTTACAATTTGGTGCCACCATTTTACAAGGGTAAGTCAAAAATTATCCACACTTTTTTGATAACATATCTTTAGGTTTGTTACACTGCCTTTTACGCATGTGTGCTTATAGTTGATGTAATTGAAATATAGAAAGATATTAAAGAAAATCCCTATTTACCATTTTATAAAATTTGAATTAATTGGCAATTAGCTGATGTTTTGCCAACCATTCCAGTAAACAATCTAATAAATGAATGGTGTAAATAAACAATAATAATAGTTTATTATTTTTATTGTAAATTCTCACGAACAAAGAAAATGTATAAATTTGCTTCCATCACGTTTAGCTTTTATTACAATTTTAATCATCAATTTTTAAAGCAATAAACATTGCCGAGGAGTGAAGGTAGTTAAAATTATAGTGGTGTCAAGGGAAAAACTTTTGAGACATTTTTTTTGTAGGCACAAGTGTTTATGAACTAACCTCGGCAAAAAATAAACTCCAGGCTGTATTGAGGATCTTTCGTGTAAGTAGTGCAAGAACAACACAGCTGATAAGCCTGATCAAATCAAATTGCAACAAGGAGAGTGTGACCTTATTGCAAGCATGTCCAGATGCTCGATTACCAGACGACAATGGTGATCTCCGAGGAGACGGACTTGGGCTCGGAGTTGAAGTTGTGATACCAGGGAATTTACTTTCAGCAAATGCATCATTTGTTTTCACCCTTTTGCGTATATGAGATTTGTCAGTGTCAGCAGTAGTTTCAGTGGTCAGGCTATCTTGCGTACTTGAGCTATTGGTGGCTTCCATTGGACTAGGCTGTGAACGGGCACGAGAAATAGCAGCAGTATCTGGCCCAGGGTCTTCTTCTCTTGAGCTGGCATTATTTCTGCCCTCATTTATAAGATGGGCACTTGGATCTTCAGAGGTCTCATGGGAATAAGGTCCTGCTGCAGAAAATAAAAATAGTGCCAGAATTGAATTTAAAATTATCAACTACTGATCAGGCTTTTTCAAAAAAGAAAAAAAAATTGTTGGCAAAAACAAAGAACCTTTAATGTGTTAACTAGAAAATTATTTTGACAAAATTTCTACATTGTATATGCTTACAAATAGATCATTTTTTTTTTTTAATAAAATTTAACCTATTCCATTTTATAAAATGATAATGAATATATTTCTTATTAGTACAATTGATATATTTAGTAGTTAGATGTATTTCAGTAGACATCCCTATTTAAAAAAAGAAAAGAAAAAAGTAAAATGTCTACCAGCCTAGTCTTAGAAAATGTGTCACTTGATGTGCCTATTTCTTTAATATAACCACAAATAAGACAGTACACATTAATTTCAGTTAAAATAGAAAACAGACATACACACAGTCTAAATGGAAAGTCTATGTAGATTGATTGAATTGTTTTTTTATGGCCTGTCAATCCTTTGGGAGTTGTTTAAAGCCAAAACATTTTGCAGTGTCAGACTTTTTTTTTTTTCTTTTAATGAATATTACATTAACATTTTTTGGGGGAGGGGAGATAAGTTTTTCTGATACAAGTCCTACTATTTAACCCATAGCTAGAAGGAGAAGGGATAGATCTATACCTTTCCCAAGGGTATTTACATGTAAGTGAATGAAATGGTGTCTACTCAAATATGTGTACTAACTAAATATAATATTTATATTAATAATAATTATGTCAGATGAAAAAAAAAAAAAAAAAAATCATCAATTGCTCAATATTTAATTTTGTACAAAAATAATGAAAATAAGAAAATCAGCAGTCAATTGCTGAAATCTGATGAGTAGATGGAATGATTACAAAAAGGTTCATTTACGAAACTCTGGCGTCAGGGTGCTGAATATAACAACAACCAGCTAAGTAAAAAAATTTATATTTGTATTAATCACATACACACATATATATATATATATATATATATATATACATACATATATAATATTATATAAACTGATTTCTGATGAAGGCCAGGATATGACAACGAAAATACTGATTGTAAAAAAAAAAATTAAAAAAAATGAAGACATTAATTTGACCATGTAAATAAAATTGATTACTATCAATAAAAATCAAATACTCTTGAACAATATCGAGAAAAGCAAATTCTATTACAAAACCTTTAAAATCAATTTGGATCAACAAATAAATAAATGAATGAAAGAAAGAACTGAACTGAACTGAATTAATAAAAAGGTTCCCTCTAATAAATTTAGATAACTTATGACAAGTATTATTATTATTCCTTTTCCTCAAAAAGCAAACAATATGGACTGAAAAAAACTAGATATGAAAGAATGTACCTATCTAACTAAATATAAATTTTGTTTACTGATTTGGCAACAGACCCACCAGCAAAGTATCACCCATGTTAGACAGGCTGTCACATATACAGTCATTCAAATTTTATCAGAAGCTATGACATCTACTTCTGATCTATGATGTTAGTTTTTTTATAAACTAGAAAACAACCTTCAGGTGGTTAGAATGTCAAACTTAACCCTTTATTTCGCTCACTGGGGTAGACTGTTCTAGTTCCACGTGCCATGTTTAATGGATGTCAGTTATCAGTTATCTCCTGTTAATTTCCCTCTCCAAGTTCTCCACTGCCTTAACCGGGTATTTAAGGACACATGGCAGAGTGGATAAAGGCGTTGGTTAGATCCAGTGACAGGACCCATTTTTGATGAAATACCAATAGTATTCTAAGACTAAACTTTAAAAGTGAAAATAAAAACTTGCATAAAACTAGAAAGCAAATAATTTTGTTTATGTAGCATTTTGGAGAGAGTCAAATCTGCTTAATGAACTTTCAGTGCAGTTTTCATCTGTCAAAAAAAAAAAAAGCCCAAAAATACATGCACACTATCAAGTTGCAAACATATACAGGGTAAATATATCAAATCTGGAAAAACTTACATGTTTCATGAATTAATGTCATCAGAAAAATGGATTTTATTTTTTTAACAAAGTCAGGGTAGGAACTGCACAGTTTTCTCTTTCCAGTCTCGATAGAGTCTAAAAGCATCTCCACATCCTTGTGGGTGATAAATTATTTTCCACCCTACAAACTCTTTCTCACAGATGAAATGTTACAAGCCTCTCACTACTATCATTATTTCCATGGAAAGTGCTCAGATGAGCTACATTCCATAGTTACACCAGTTCTGACATTCATGGCTAAGACCCACCATGCTACACACATTGTGGTGAACCACCTGCATTCCATTTGTGAGATTAAGTTCCACTCAAGCAGCCTCTTCCTATGAACTGCTGCTCTTTGGAACTGACTCCCAAGAGAATGTTTTCCTGATCATTACAATCTTAAACCGTTTAAGTCCAGGATTAACTGTTATCTTTCTTATATATCCACATAAACTATGCTTTTTACTCTGTAGCTCTCTACTTCGAGTGGCTCCCAGGCCTTGTACAGGGTGAACATCACTTAAAAAAAAACAAAAAAAAAAAAACAAAAAAAAACATAAGACAAAATGTAATTTATGATAACCATATGAATGTTCGATTTTTAACTATCAATTTTTTAAAAATAAGATTTTACAAATTTCAAACTTGTTTTTATTCATATTCATTAGTTTTAAGGTTTTCAATCAGCAATGAGGCTTTGGAGAGGCTAGAAAACAAAGGGGAAACTTATACTTAACATCAGGAAGAGGTGGTTGAAATTTCAGAGACAGGTAATGTGGAAGGAGGGCTTGGAAAATCTGATACTCACAGGACAGAGGGAAAGAGGGACAGGGGAAAGCAACATATGACATATTTAATGGGTTTGAGAAAATGGATGGTAGAACAGGGTTTGGGAGAAATAACAGAAAGACAAAGCTTACTGCTATCCTCATCTTCATTGCCGTATTCACAACGTTTCGTTCGTTATATGCTTCTTCAGGTGAATTTTGAACCGAACCCTTTATTTCATCCACTGGGGTAGATTGTTCTAGTTCCACGTGACATGCCTTTTTTGGATGTCCCAGTTATTTCCCATTAAACTCAACTTTCTAAGTTGAGTTCTCCACTGCTGTGGCATGGTATTGAACTCACAACTCTTTGGGTCTAGTTACTGGATTTAACCAACATCTTTATCCACTGGGCCATGAGGATAACAGTCCAAATAATATAAATAATGTAAGTAATCATAATACCTCATCTCAGACATATAGACAGTTATTAAGAGCTATAAAGAACAAGAGTATGTGGAGGGCCATGATCACCTATGTCCTGAAGGGACACAGCATATAAAAGAAGAAAAACATCACACAGTTTAGTAGGAACAGGTGATAGGCTGAAGAAGCCTGGTCATGGGGATTTTGAGATCATGGCACTTTTTAATGCATCTTTGTCAGAGTAAATGAAATCAGTTTTTTTGAGGATACTGCTTGATCAGCAGGGAGTATCAAAATAAATGTTTTCCAAGCTGTTATATATATTTACCCTTCCATCAGATTCTCATCCAAATTTAAGTCATGTGTATGTATGTATGTATGTATGTATTTTTAATTTATTTTGTGTTGCAGGGAACGAACTGGTAACCCTCAGTATACAAAGAACTGATACACTGCTATTAAATGTACTGTTCTAGTAGGAATATAAGCATAATTGGGGGTGGTCTGGCTTTCCAGCTTCAGATGAACTTGTAAATATCTACTTGTATTGTTCTTATTTAAAATAAACCCTTACTTGAAGTGGCCGTTCTGGTTCAATAACCACCCCAAACAACATTACAAAATTTTGTTTAACTTTTTGCTGTAATGAAGCAAACATGGAAAACCAAAAGTGAATCTTGCACTAATTTGACCTGAAGATGACCAGGCAAGTGACATATTCACTATGATAGTGTTCTTCTTGAACAGCATAATAAAAATTAATTTATACTATTTACATTTGAACTATTGTCCTCATCTTTTGTGGTGTTATAATAATATTCCGTCCATTGTACCTTCCAACCTTTATCAGGTGTATATTGATCTGGGTAATCTATAAGGAATTCCTATAGAACAATAGCCTAGTGGATTCAAGCACTGGTTCATGAATTTGGTGACACAGTAATTACAAGTTCAATCCCTCAACCAAGCAGTGAGTACTTAGACTCAGTGGAAACAGGGTAAGCAATAACAGAGCAGTACTAAATAAAAATAGGAACTCAATGAGATATCCCTAGACATAGGCAGTGGAATGAGAACAGTCTACTGCCATAGATTAAATAAAGGGTTCAGTTCAGAATTCCCTGAAGGTTACCTGGATTGAGGCGTCAATATGCTGAGACAACCTTAGTTACAGTTCAAGTATGTACCCCTCATTAAAGACACACAATTCAAAGTAATTGTTCTCTTACACCGATTGCTAACCACAGCTAAAGTGTCCCGTCTACCTTACTATTTAACTCTTAGCTGAGGGGAGAATAGATGGATTCATACCTTTAAGTAAATATAATGATCTTGACCAGAATTTGAACTTAGCGCCCCAATTTCTCATTCCGAGCCACTAACCATTACACCACCTACTGCACATCCATATCTGAGGAAGATAGCTGAAATTAAATGATCAAAACAAATATTTTGATATCTGTTCAAATAAATAATGATTCTCTTCACCATTAAAAAAACTTGGGGTTTACAGTCACATTGTGCTGAAACACCGGTTTTTGTATGATAACCAAAGTTAATCAACACTGAGCCTGGTCAGTACTCAGATTCGTGACTGCTTGAAAATACCTGCCGTTTTAAGCTTGGATATGCATGTAGCGTAATGATAATGGCTTGAAATTGTTAATCAGAGAGCCGAGTTTCTATTCTAGTTAGGTTTGTTATATTCCCTTATGGGCAACTACCCTTGAGAAAGGCATAAATCCCCTCCCCCTACCTATGGGTTAATTAGTAAGACATGGATCACTAAATCATTCATTATTATATCAGAAAATTTAATCTAATAATTATAATCTAAAAATATTTTCTATCTGTAAATAAGCTTAAAAAGGGTTGATAAGCCATAAAAACTGAATCAATCAAATCACTGTTGGCTATGTATATATATATATATTTTTTGGGGGTATTTAACTAATACAGTGCAAAGATTAGTCACACAGCCACAATTACACAAAAAATATTTTTTTCATTTTGGAATCTATTTCTCGGGCATTTATTTGTTTTTTAATATTAAATGCAAGAAGATTTTGCATTAAAAGGTAATACCAGTTTTTTTTTTCTCCAAAGCAGACAATTTTGAAAATGTATTTTTTTTTTTTTTAAGTTTTTGAAGTTAAAAGTTTCATATGGTTTGATTTTTTTTTTGCGATTGTTGATAAAACAGTAGAAATAATGCAATTTATTTTAGGAACAGAAAAGTGTATAATTATTTTCAAGGCAATAAATAGTCCAATTGGGTTGTTAAATTTAAAAATAAATATTTTTAGTCATAAACACAGACACTGAACTGAATGATACAAACTAAACAGAATAAAAAAAAAAAAAAAAAAATTACGAAATGTTCTTTTACCGTAAGGTAACAGAAAGAAAACCATTTTTTTAAAACTCAGTTATGGATAAGAGTTTGTGGCCTTGGCTTTTTTGATCATCAGACAAACTCCTGATTCTTCTTGTCTTATGACCTTGAGTCAGGAGTTTGCCTGGTGATAGCAAAAGCATGAAACCCAGGGCCACAAAGTGATATCCATACAACTAAATATGTTCGTTTGCTTGCTAGCTAGCTCTCTCAATACAGACAGACAGACATGCATGCATGCATGCATGTATATGCGAGTTTTGTAAGTTTTTATGCAAAAAAAATAGGGGGTTATACACAGGTGTTTTTTTTGTGGGGGGAGAGTTAAAAATAAAATAAAAATAAATTTTTTTGGTGATACACGGGTCTTTTGGCTTCCTACAAAACTTAAAATTCGCGCAAATAAAAAAAAAAGAAAAAATTCAGGGCTCACTAGACATGAAATCGGCTTTTACATGACTAGTCTATACATTTGAGTTGACTAAAAAAAAAAAAAAAAAAAAAAAGTTATGTTTAATGATTTTTCGTGTCTAAAAAAAAAAAAAAAAAAATGTTTTCTAATTCACCAACAAATCAATTAGATTTTTAAATTATCATCTGCTGATTGTACTGAAGACGTTTCTTATTTGATTTTGAATTATTACAAAAAAAACAAAAAAAAAAAAAAAAAAAACAAATGAAAAGTTGAAAAGTTCTCAGCCCAACGCACTCCCCAAACAGAATTTATTTATTGAAATGGTTCTTGGTCAGACAGACAGAGAACTTTTCAGTAATACTCGTAATGCTTTCAAAGTTTATTCAAATCAAAGAGAATTTGTTTTTAAAAGAAATAATTATTGAAACTTTATGTAGAGACTAATGAATTAATTATTACACATAAGATTAATAATTTATTTAGAACATGAAGCCCAGGAAAATAATTTATCATTTGCAGTAAAAGAAATTTTCTTTAAAATGAATGTGATTATTTTTTATGGATCATTGGATACTCATATTCAGGTAGAAGCTCTGTTTTTTTTGTTTTTGTTTTTAAATTAAACGGTATTTTTTTAACCAACTACAATCTACCGGCCTGAATATTCGAGAAATCTTGTCAGAAAAATATTCGTCCTTCGGCAGGATTCGAACCAACATACCCTATGTGGAACCGTCATTAAATCGAACGTACCTAACTGCTCGGCCACGTAGGACTTATGGTCAAAAAAATGACGGTTCCACCATAGAGTATGTGGGTTCGAATCCCACCGGAGAATGCAAGATTTTTCGAATATTTAGGTATGTAGGTGGATAAAAATATTGTTTAAAATAAAAAAAAAAAATAGAGCTTCTACTCAAATATGAGTATCCATAAAAAATAAGGTTTAAACAAAAATAAAATAAATTTAAAATAACAATATGTCGGATTTAATCCATTTCGTAAAGAAAACAAAAAACGGAGGGGGAGACAAATCTTAAAGAAAATTAATTGCTGTCATGATAATAGAATAACCAAATGTATGGTCAGCGGAAGAAAATATAAAATTCCGCAGGGGGAGAAAATAAAGGAACAACGTACCATCTGAGTGAAGAATTTTTTTCATTCGCTGTTCAGAGAATTGAAGTAACTTTTGTCTCCTCAACTTGCGAATGTCGTCTGGACTACCCGCCATTGTTTTCAGGGCATTTGAAAGCAGATCATGGCAGTTTCGTACTTATATACATTATTTTATACACTACATCTATATTTGCTTCTTTTTAATTAAATAATGGCATTATAGAATCTGTTTATAATAATAATAATAACGCCAACTTTTATTGCTAATTTGAAAAAATAATTACGAAACTAATATTGAGATAAACATTTAATACTGATGGCGTCCCGAGAAAAAGCCGGAATTCTGAAAAATGAAGATAAAAACGAAAACGGTATCATTGTACTACATTGGTCAGATAGTAGAGAAACATACAGGTAATAACAAAAATGTTTATCAAAGTCTGTCCTTAATTATGAAGAACATACTGTCTTCTACAAGTTGAAGCAGAGAGCGGGCACGAAGTATGGAGAAGAAGACAATAACTGTCAACGTTACTGTAAAATACGAAAACGACATCGCTTTCCTTAGAAAGAAAAAAAGAGGCCTGCTCGAAAGTAATAATCATTCAAGTGACTCAGAACTGTCTTTCTCATAATAGTTTGTTTTTTTTTAGTTAGTTTCTAGGAACTAACTACCATAATTAAAAAGAAAAGAAAGAAAACTAAATCCATTACCAGATGACTACTATATTTTTCATTCATCTGTCTTCTCGGATCAATTAGAAAGCATCGGATTTATAAACTTAGAATTCTATTGATTATCTCTAGTCCTTTCTTTTAAGTTTTAATTCACTTATGTGCGAAGAAAAGGTAGGATATATATATATATATATAAAAAAGAAACAAGGATCTTATGAACATATTGTCTTCGTTGAAAATATTTTTGTTTTAAATTTTTAAACGGAACGGATGATGGATCAACATAAAAAAATAATACTCCAAAGAACGTTTCTATATTCCACCTTCTTGCAGATTTTATGATAAATCTATTAACTTCTTACCAGAGAGCCTAGCCAGTCTTTTTTTTTTTTATTATTTTAACGAAAGAAAACATCTGATTGTAGTTTTTAAGAAGCAAAAAAAAAAAACCCAAAATCTGAATATTGTCAACATGACGGCCTCTGCTGGGAGTGGAACATCGCCGCCTCTGTCTTTACCAACCACAAACTTTGGAAACACATGGAAAACATTTGTTGCTGGAGGTAAAATTATTATTTTCTATTATTTCTTTTATGTAACTTTTTATTTTTTTAAATCCCCCCCTCAAAGCCCTTGAAAATAACCATCAAATCTAAGAATAAGATACCAATATTGCGCTTTAATTAAAAATCTCATTCATGAGGCGTACAACCATTGATCTGAAAAGAAAAAAATAGTGATTTTTTTTTTAATTAAGTTCAAGCCAATGTGCATCTTAAATGTGGAACAAGTTGGCAAGATTGGTGTATCTGGTGAGGATCGAACTTACTAACTCTATCGTCATATTGATCTATCGAGATAAGCATATTTTACTAGTACACCACGTTGAAAATTTCAACTTGAAATACTCCACAAAAAGTATGTTTTTAAAAAATAATTACCTACCTGATTACTCACAGGTGCGAAATGTTATTTTTTGAATTTGATTTGAATATAATAGTAAAAAAACTAAAAATATTAAAAATCAAATACTGATTTTCTAATTGTTTCTAGTAATCGTAGCTAAATTTAAAATAAATCTGTGTACAGTAATAATTAATAAACAAGAAAAGAGTAGTGGACATTGGTGGTTAATTAACTTACGACTTAACGTCCATTAGCATTATTGTTGGTCTGGCTTTTAAAAAGTGGTATTTGATTTCATACTTTGTTTAAAACAAGGCAACAATGTTACTTTCTTCGTTTTATGGTTTTGAAACTGGGGAAATACCTTTCCGAAATTTATTTTGTAAAGGCGAATATATTTTGTTCAGGCGATGTCATTAATGATTAATCTTTTTTCTTTATATCTCTTGTCCATTTTAGTCTGTCCGTAATTGTAATTTAAGTTCTTTATGTATTTAAATTTACTTATATGGCTTGAGATAGTGATAAACCTTTAAGGATCAGTGAAGCTAAAAACTAAACAAGACAAAGAGCCTCTTTGTCTTGTTTATGATGACCCTTTTTAAGGCCATTATTAGTCATATGACTTTCTTTTGTACTTTTCCCCTGTTTGGCCATTGAACTTCGTCTTAAAAAAAAGGTTTTTTTTTAGACTTAGAAAAGTCTGTAACTGAAACTCTTTCTCTTTTATAGTTTCCTCCGTTTTCATCACTTATTTTTTCACGCTGACTTATTTGTAAACAAAGTTGAGTGCAAAATTAAAAAAACTTAATTTTTGATTTGTTATTGATTGTGTAAAAAAAAATTTTCTTTTCTAAAAATGAAGAAATTAATTTCGAAAAATGAATTGGTTAAAAAAAGATTTACTTCATTTTTTTTTTTTTTTTTGTCCATGGTGCCTGAATAAAAAAACTTAATTTCTTATTTCTTATTCTTAAAGAATATAAAAATTTGGAAGTCTGAATGTACCAATTATGATGAAATCTTTTTATTTTTAAAAATGTTCCATTTATTAAAAAAAAATGTAGTTGTTTCCAATTCGACACAAGTTTATTTAAAGTTGTGAAATTTGATATTTTCATTATTTAAACGCCAACGAAATCCATTGATTTTTGTTGAAATATTTAAATTTAAACAAATTATTAATTATTGTCAAATAAATTGTTACTTTTTCTGAGAAGTACCTCACAATCGCTTCATCTCGACTAAATAATTGAGCTGTGTTTAATAACCATTTTTTGTTTTTTTTTTTTTTTTTTTTTTTTTTTTTTTTATTGAATATAAATTTATATCTCGATTTATTTTTTTTTATTTAAAAAAAATCAAAAAAGGCAATGACATTCCCGAAATCGAACGTAAAAGTTTCCGCGACACGTTGTTTAATTAAATTTAAAATAAATTAAAGGTAGCTCATTCTTTTGGACTTCCGTATTTTAAAAAATAACAGGTCATCTCTTCCATTGTTTCCTTCGACGATGTTGTTAATGAACTTGACTTACTTTCTACTTTGATTCCCGTTCACATCATAGACGTGGTTTTTTTTTTCTATTTATAAATTTAACTATTTAAAATAGCCAAGTTTCACATTTGAACATTGGGTTCATTATTCCTTTGGCTAAAATGAATTGTTTCCTTCTTGATAGCTTTTTTTTTTTAATTTGATTTGCTAATGACTTTTAAAACCCTAATCAATAAATAAATTTCATTCATCTTGAAAATTTTTTTTTTTTTGATAATTAAAAAAACAAAAGGCATTTTTACGTTCTTTTAAATTAGTTTTTTTTTTTTTTTTTTTTTTTTTTTTAATTTCAAATAGCCTAAAAAAAATAAACATAAGGCCGTTCGGAATCATAATCCTTGACAACTAGGCGGCCCTTTTTCAGACACTCTTATTTTAAAATTTAAAACCTTGCCATGGTCACTCATCGAACCACGAAAAAGGAAAACAAAAAAAATTAATCTCTTAAAAATCCAATGTTTGTCAGATTTGTTTCAAAGTCAGTAAATTTATGGATTAATGAACTGCATTTTATAAAAAAAAAAAGTAATGCTTACAAACAGAGCGAAAAATAATATTTATTTACACACGGCAGCCCATGAGTTGTCGCGGCTGTTATTATTTCTAAACGCGCGTAAAGTTTTAAAATTTACGAAGGACCAATAGGACTAAAATCTAGTAATTAGTATTATGCTTAAAGATAAATTCTTTAAACAATTAAGAATATTTTTTGTTTTATACGCTTCTTTTTATGAAACAGAATTTTATCTTTTATCTTTACCATGCTCATAACGCACGACCCCCCCATGTTTTTTCACGAGTTCTTTTTTTTTTTTTTTTTTTTTTTTTTTAGAGAGACCAAATTGCAATCCTCTTCCCCTCTATCATTTCATCACATCTTCTAGTTAAATAAATTAAAAAAAAAATAAAAAGAGAATTATAGAAGTATCGTTAATAACGCTTTGGAAAGCATAGACTATGGTCTCGATCAGCTAAGCTAAACTAAACAGAAACTAATCATCTTGAATGTAAACAATGCAAAAACTGCATATTCGCTGTGTTTGTATATGATACTATGTGAATATTACATGCATTATTATTCGATACTGTTAAAGTAAAACATCAGTTTTATCAAAATCCTGTTTATTTTAAATGCAGCTGTAGTACTTTTTGACTACAGCGAATGGAAGTTTGATGAACAGTGACCGGCAGCAGTACAGCTAATTTTATATTTTGTGTATGATGCGACCCCCTTAAAATTAGCTTCAAAATTAGGTCTTTAAAACGGTACATTTATAAAAAAAAATTAAAAACAAGCTAAAAAAATGGTACTTTTAACTTTGAGTTTTTTTTTTTTATTTTTCTATATTTTTTTTTTTTTTTTTTTTTTTACATTCATTTCTACTATTTTTTTCTTTGCGATCAATAAAGACCGAATTGATAAGTGTTGATTGATTGTAGTCAGGGAGTTATTTTCTTTTGGAACTTCCGTACAAAAAATAATCTAACCTAACAATCTACAAACCTAACTTAATTTAATAAGAAAAACTCTTGTAATGAACAGCAACTTTGTAAACCCCCCCCCTCACCTCAAAAAATGCAAGAAGTACACTAGATATTGAGGGGGAGTGAAAGAGAATGAAAAGATTTTAGAAGGAACCAGAAACCCAATCCTAAACAGGAAACTAGGGATAAACCTCTACTGTCCAAAAGACTAGGGAGGTTCTTTTATATTAAACTTATTTATTTGTTCAGGTACAAAAAATGTAAAGTTTATCAATAATAACATCTGTCTATATTTCTGAGATGAGGTATTATGTACACTATTTACATTGCTCGGACTATCATCCTCATCTTTGTTGCCATATTTATCACAATGTTTCAACCATTATCTCCTGTTAATTCCCCTCTCCAAGTCTCCACCACCTTAACCAGGTATTGATCTCACACTCTTTGGGTCCTGTCACTGGATCTAACCAATGCCTTTATCCACTGTGCCATGTGTTGAAATATGGCAACAAAGATGAGGATGATAGTCTAAGCAATGTAAATAGAATAGCATATCCAGTTAAAGAAGTGAATGCTAAAAAATAAAATAAACATTCCCACTACAAACTACAAATGAACTGACTTCTGACTTTTTACAGCAACAAAGGAATACTAAATAAAATTATCACAAGTCATCTTGTGAGTCTGATTTCCTTATAAATTTCAGAATTGATATTGGAAATCAATAGTCTGGAGAAATATTCAGTTTTCCAGTGCAAAAAATATTAGCTTTTAAATGTATAAGCAACCATAATACTGCTTGCATCTCATATGGCTTTATCTGAAATTTATAATTTTAAATATAATCTAAGTCTTTAAACCTTTTATAAAAGTAAATGCATAACATAAAAAGAGCTTTGAATTTGGTAGGATCATTTGGAATATAAGAAATCATCATGACTGTTACTTGATAATTAAGAAACTAACATCTATTCTCGTTTAATAGTATGGTTCTGAATTTGAAAAAGAATTCTCTGAACAAAGGAAAAATGATTTTGTTAAATAGTAAGCCTTGTACTTGTAAAATCCATGCTATAAATAACGTTAAAATATGGCTGGAATAATTGTTTTATTATTTAAGAGAATTATTTTTCTGAATAATTTTTCACATTTAAAAATTATTTACTTAAAAATGGAACTTTCAGTGTTGGTTCTAATTTCTATGAAATTTAATTTTTTTTTTTCTTTTAAACCATTTTAGTAAAGTTTGATAAATCTGAATATTTCTATTAATATTTTCATCAAAGCTGATGGTCATTTTTTTTTTTTTTTTTTTTTTTTTTTTTATCTAAGAAATGATCAAAATTAAATGTAGACAAAAGGTTTAGCACTCCTTTTTGAAAACTAAAGACTGAATGCACATTTGGAAAATCAGCTTTTCACTGGAAATTTTTGCACACATCTAATACTTGATGTATTTTCTAAAAATTCTTTTTGGTAGAAGATTGTAAAATGTGTGTAAGATGTCGAGTTTTAAATTCCTTTAATATGGCAAAAAGAAAAAAATTAATGAACAAATCAGAAAACATTAAAATTTTCATATCCTACAAAATGTTTGCAATATCAGAGAAA